TTAGAGAGGACTCCGCCCTATTACTGAGTACGATACCTACCCCGCGCTGACCTAATGAACGAGCATCGTCGTCGCCTGATGTGCGAAGAACGTATCTCGTCGACAAATCTGGCGCNTTAGAGTAGTAGGATCCTGGATCCGAGTTTCCGACACGCGGCAAAGATCGATTCCTAAGGATTCCATTGTACGAGCCAGACAAGCTTGTTGACCTAGCTGCATCAAAGTCCTCAAGTTGAAGGCCCCCAGATTCAGTGATTGACGAGGCTTTAGAATCTGCAATCCATTTCGTGAGAAATCACTTACAGTGCTATCTGGCAACGACCTTTGGCGAGCGACATCCAAGTTGCTTGAGGGACTATTACAGATCGGTATAAGGGGTAAAGGGAGAGGGTCGGGAACGGAAGACAAAGAGTTAAACAAAAGTTGGGATATCTGTCGTTTGTCCGTCATCTCGTATCTTTCGAGATTTCTACCTCAAAAGCCATCCGCCAGAGAATTTGAATTTGAATTTCCTACGAAATTGGTATCCACTTCAAACTATTTCTCCACTTTCCTTTGAATTTACGATGCCGTTTTTTCACTTTTGTTTGTGACTATATGCGACAATAAATGATCTTGGAGAGTAAACAGTTGCGAATCCATCCACTAAGATGAATAAAGCAATTTTTTACTTGAATTGACTTGTCTCACACAGGTGTATCCACAGTACCACTCTGCATCGTTCGTTGTGAAACCTCCTTCATCCTTTGCACAGTCAAGAGTTCTTTCTGGGATAACAGGTTAATGGAGATAGCATTATCTCGTAGCGAGACTGATTGGCATATATGACTTTATTTTCTATGAACACGTAAGTATTCTGTTAGAGAGCTTATTTATAATGTTAAAAAATAGCCACCTCCTCAAACAGCACCATTGATCATCCAAGATCTCTTACTTAGACAAGCAATGCACCCGAGTGACCAGTTTTCTATCCACAATCTGGATAGGAGTCCGAGAGTGTACAGCTTAGTCGGTGGTGGATACTATACAAATATATTGATATATATACTATGGAAATATTGTAAATGTGCAAGAGACCTGTTTCGCTTGGATCCGACAAACTATTGTAGCTGTTCGTTTGTGAAGTTCAATGTCAGCCGGTATGACTGCCTAGTAAGGGTAAGTCTCTCCACTCGATAGTTTGATATTTGAGTCTCAGCTAAGACAAGAATTGCGAGCAAAATCGATAGGCTAATTATCTGTCAGATGCCTATTTTGAAACTTCTCAAACAAAAAAACGCAACTAAGGGCTAACTAATTTGACAAGCTTTTCACGAGTTTTAGATTGAATAAACCAACCTCATGAAGATCATGAAGGTTTGTACGGGGTTAGTGCAATCCATTGTATGTTTTCGAATGCTAATGTACAACTATGTGCAGACTGTGTACCACAGTGAAGTACTGACTGATCTATTGGTCTCTGTGGCCCCCTGTGAGCTCATTCGCTGAATACAGTCAAGAGCTCCACACGTTGACTTTCAGTGAGTATACTTTCCTAATGGCAGTTGGATCTGTCAGTTGATTTCTTCCACCCAAGAAAAATGATGTAACTTCTCGTGTCGTAGGCCGTCTCCTGGATAACTTTAGACCTCAGTTGCCGTCAGCTTGATTTAACGCACCTGCCCGGTGGTTTACCGGGGTCGAAACTTTGATGTATCGCTCATATTGTTCGAATCACATGAGATAATGTGGAAAATGATAGAAATCATCCGTGTAAATATGCCCCATGAAACACGGCGTTGTGCCTGAGCAGACGTACTACTATTATCAGGTACTTCTCACAACCGATGGATGAAGCAGCTGTCGAAGAATTACGTAAACTGGTTTTGCTCTTCTGAAATGATTATCAAATCCTTTTTGGAAAAATGAAAATAAACCAGAATCCGATATATGACCTAAACAAGCAACAACTGGGGGTTCTACCTGTACCGAAACATGAAGTTTTTGTTGCTTAAAAGAATTAAATAATTTAAAAGAAATATGAACCATATCTTCAATTAAAATGTTTTGCTCAAATAAACTATGAACTAAAACACTCAAGCCAGATGGTTTTATATAAAAAAAACTTGGAATCTGTATGTTACTCGAGGGTGAGGATCAAAAATGCTCAGTAAATTTGAACATACCCAGGATGCAACTTAAAACGATCCACCAGCTTCTGGTAATCTCCCGCGTTCATAATCTCCGTATTTACACCTGTTCGCTCCAGTTCTGTAGCGACCAGTCGTTTCAATTCACCGCCAAAATGAGACAGAAGAAAATCTTCCTCAGTTTCGGTGTCCTTCATCTCGTGAGTCTGTAAAAGATGAACAAATGAACAAAAGTGATTGGTCATGTTTGATTGAAAGAGAAGCTACTGGAGTCCCAGTGGCTATTTCATCTCGTTCTGTGGTGATTGACTCAGTTTCGAAGGAGAAAACCTAATAGATTCCTTAATTGAAGTAGATACTATCCATAATCTATCGTTGGACGATGTGCGACTATGAACAGATGTTCTACAGTAGAGCACCATGACAGTCCAGAATGACAGTGCCTTGGTCTTGAGAAAATTTATAAAATCTTCAGTACATTTAGCTGCCCTCTCTCCCCCGCCCTCACTCCAAGTGTTTAAATGCAAATTCTATTTTTATAGTTTTTTGGGGGTTTATCTGATTCCAGTCGAACCCACCGATTCATGTTAGTTGAGCCCGAATCTGGATTTGTGGAGGTTATCTAATTGTATTTCGCGGTACTATGATCATCGTCATCCAGTTTACAAACCAAAATGTTGACCATAAGCATGTTCTATAACATCTGCCCCTCCCCCTCATATCTCACGTTCTTTACGTTAAACATTTTCCGCCGTTCCGTTTTACAGTACTGTAGGATTGTGAGAGTCCGCCAATTTCTTTCATTTACCAATAAAATTGTTTCTGACATAATTAATTTTTCATTTATCCGTACCACCTTGGTACTGAATGTCAGTTTTGTATTGTTTAACGATGAGGAAATTTTGATGATGTTTAGTTTCTTTGAAATTACAAACTGTTCCACGTTTTGTGCCACATGTCATTCGTTAATCCAGACAAGAGTATCGGTCAAATTCTGCATGTTTTACTCATATTGTCAAGTGATGAATAACAACGATATATCGATTTTAAAATCTTGTTGAATAGAAAAAGACAATAATATCCCAACTGAATTGTAATTCTCAAAAGGAATAAAGAAAATCAAACGCAGAGAACACTTCTATTTGGTACGACCTTTAACCGTGAATTTTTGTGCAGTTCAGTTCAGTTCAGTTTGAACAACCACTAACCATGCACTACCGTGCGCCCATTTTGGTTGCTGTCTTTTGGCTGCCCATTTGGGTGAATAATAGGAGAACACAGGAAAGTTGAAGTTAGAGTCGAAGAGAAAATTGAGAACTCCAGTAAACTATGGCTGCAAAGAAATTGAGAAGATGCACAAGCGCCACTGTTTACGACACCCAGCCATATCATTTAGTGTCTCCAACCATCAGGTGCGATCTTCCCCTGGTCCCCAGTAAAGGAGCCTAACGGGACCTAAGTGATCCAGTCCCCTGGTCAGGGTTTTCATACCCTCGTGCCAAGTCTTCGCTTGGCCACCCTTGACTTTCTTTCATCTACTACTTGCCTCACGAACATCGCTCACCTTGGCAACCTATTTGATAATATGCGTAACACATGCCCCAACCAACGTAATCTATGGCGGTCGACCACTTGCTCCAGTGGACGACTGAGGATAACCAAAACTCTGCGCCTAACCTCGACATTGCTCATCCGGCTGCCCCACCAGATTCGTGCAATGCTGCGTAGACACCGGTGCTGTTTCTCTGCAATCCATTCGGTCGAGCAATATTAAAGCACGTGTGGAAGACGTATGTCAAACCAGAATTAAGAAGCAGTACACAGGAATTGAGTGAATGCATACCCTCACCATGGACAGAAAACTTCCTTGCAGCTTAAATGAGTGTTTTATCATTTTATCACATCACTGGCATAAATTTAATCGTACTCTGGAAGTTCAAAAGATAACTGAATTTGTCTGATCGGTCACCGTTTTGGGTAGTATCAAGGAGCAATGGTCAAGTTACGCAATAAGATGTTTTGGCCCTATGAGCCCATTTCGTAAATTTTCTTCACCATTTTTGATAACTTGCATGTGTACTTAGAATAACTCCTCAGAGGCTATCACCACACGTTTTGTTTGCGCACACATTTAGAATACAGATGGATGGAATCCCGGTAATGTCACACCGTAACATGACAAGGAGGAACGTATAACTTGAAAGATGGCTTTTCATGTGTACGATTGTCCCAACTTCCACCGTCAACTACAAAAATTATCGGATGTTTTCGGTTTAAACCGCTAGAAACACCGTTTTTTCCAGGTAGATGCCTCCAAAAGCCTTAGTATGGTCCGGAGTGGGTGTCTAGGGTTGCGGCTGGTCACCCTTCCCTTGCACCTCACAAAATGCTCCCATACGAACAAGAGTCTCAAATAGCTTCTGCTGAGGAAGTCCTACTCACTGTCTTCTCGTCGCTGAGGTGCTTTTCCACCACAGTGAAAGGACGAAAAGCCAACATCCGGAGCTGTAACCGGGTTGGTAGACCACTAGTAGTTCACCTAGGGGAGTTGGCCAAGAACATTGATTCCAAACCAATCCAGAGGAGTCATAAGAAACACACGCAACTTCCTGGTTGTGGCCGTGGTCACCGGCTTCATTGGGCATCTTTGATGTTTTACCCTGTCTAAAGGGCGTATGATCTGATGAACTGGACACCAGCTCCCAATTGGTTGCGGTTTTCGCACACCACCCCGCTGCTTTGCAGGTCAAGCTTTGGCTAGCCGAAGGCTCCGGTTGTTGATTCCTCAAGAAAATGCACCTGCCTTGGCCTAGGCAGCCCGGCAGTATTCATTCCACTTATAAATCATGGAATGTTTTTATTTTTCATAAAGATAATTGTACCACGATTTGTTTGGCATACAGTCTGTCCTCATAAAAGTGCGAAATTTATGAATATATATTAGAATCGAACATGATCACAATAAAACTCAGGAATGATTGAATTTGCTGGGAGAGGGTTGGTGAATGAATTTTATTAGTAGCTTAGCCCGTAAGGTAGGTCCTAGTTTCACCATCCTCAAGCATTTTTCTACCTGGTCCCTGGCTCATAAAACATCGTGAGTCTTATTTTATACGGAACGGTCACTAGCTCCATCGGGCGGCCGCGACTACGATAAGCTTTGAGCCTATTCTCAGCAAAATCTGTCCTCTTGTCCCAACAGACTCGTGCAACGTGATGAAAACTGATATACTCAACCACCCACAGTTTTTCTTTATCTTGTATCCGTGAACGCAAGGTCTGTGAAACGCATAGCAGTTCTGGTAGAACTGTTACTGCATACACTCGATTCGGATAACACAACGGCGCCGGGAACGTCTCGAGTTAGAAAATGCCAACCGAGCTTACTGTACGCATACAAAAACTATATTTGTGAAGCGTTCTTCAGGTGAGCTGGGTACAAAAACCCCGACCGCAAGACTCGGACTTATATGTCGCGGTTGGTTTCCCAAATAGGGACCTCAGGATAATTGTAACCGATGGTCAGGGACATTGAGTGATGCGGCTGAATGTCGTAACAGTGCCGCTTGTACATTTCATTGATCTATTTAAAACCTTAGTGTTCATAAGTTTTCTATTTTTATCTTTACATTGCTTTCAGCATATCAATCTTCCGTTTTCTTCTTGATTTAAACAGCAACCAAAAGACCCTATCCAAAATAGCCTATCAAAGGTATACAATTAATGGTTGTTCGAACTAAACTAATAACTCATCCCACAACAGAGTTAAAAAGCGATTGCAAGTCACCATTCTAGTTGTTTGACCCGTTAATATGACCGTCTCCGATTTAGCGAGAACTAAACCCGTTTTAAAGTTGTATCTCATATAAACTAGTCTATCATTATTATTATTATTATAACGGTTAGTGCTTTTATCTCGGTGCTTTTTAGTCCACATTCGAGGAGACATACGAGATACTGAACGGCATGCCAATGAATACAATCACGTAGTTGTGGTACTTGTAAACGTTAGCTGCGGGTTTTTATATTTGCCGATTAAGACGATACGTATGTCACTATCGTTGGGATGGATTACATTTAGATATAAAAATGGTCCTTATCAGATATGTAGTATCTTAATCTTACATAAGTATACTCAAGGTGAACAAATGTGCCAATTGAAATCAATAAATGTAAGTGAAAGAAATGAAAGTCTATATTGAAATAAGGGCAAGCCTCTCAACCGCCATTATATGAAGGCTCTCGTTATATCGACAGCTGCAGATAAAAGTCCTATCTGAGTCACATTGTAGTTTTATCGGAGTCCCAAACGACCATCATTGAAGGGTTCCATTTCGGATGCAAATGGTCTCCAATAGGACGGATGTACCAACTTGGTTCTCTCCAGAACATACTCCCCGATAAAAACACCAACCGAGAAAACCCGTGGCTTTGACGGCAGTAAAATTTGTTTTTCTGGTGTGAATCAGCGGTGAATGTCTGGTGACTCAAATATCACGCTCTTTCTACGGTGGAACCACAGCGAAAAAGTCAAGAAACTTCCACCGCTTTCCCCGACGAACCCGCAGACCCAGCTGGGTCTGTAAGGGTATCCAAGACCTTTATCTGACAATCCTGGTGATATTTTACTGGCTTTAACTTCGCTATGACAGAACCATTCCTAATCCAAAAACTACTAAAGATCTTTCTCAGCCCTTGCAGTTTTCACTAGCTGCCTCGTGGCAACTTGTATTCAGGTTCTTAGGCGTGAAGTGCAGTGGAAACTGCCATATTAGCCCCATCACATTGTGCTCCACTATTTCGACTAGGTTTTACAACAAACCATTACTCCTGCATGACCCTGTTGAGTTTCATTTTCAATGTTTCAATTCCGCCAGAGGTGTTCCTTCATGACCAATTTGCTGCTTGCTCGGGAACTTTGACCTAAATACAAGGACGAGAAATATGGTACAGAAGTTATCTTCAGCAAGGCGTTCGACAAAGTATCTCACGACAGATCGCTCACTAAACTTAGGGCTCTGAGTGTCATAGGGTCCACAATTCACTGGCTGGTGATCCCTAGAAGGGAGAAACTTCTCAGTGAGAGTTTTACAGTCACAATCTGCACGGTAAACAGTCACCAGTGGTGCCCCACAAGGCTCCGTTTTTAGACCACTGCTGCTTCTGATATTTGAGAATGACATACCAACAACGTTAGTAGCCCGTGCCTAATATATGCTGACGACCTCAAGCTCTGATCAACAATCCGGTCTCTTCAGGATGACCTAAATGCTGTGATGAACTGGTCGAAGGTATAGGGGTTACCGGTGAATATCTCTAAGTTTGCACACATTAGGATAGGACGGCATGGTCTCACCACCGGCTAACGTCCTGGAATTATCGTGCTCCGGTAATCAACTGAAGAACGAGATTTGGATGCTGTCATCACCAGCAACCTAAAACTCGAGCACAGACAGAAAAAGCTTGTGTCTCTACGTGGAGCATGTTGGGTGCTAACCACTGTTCTTTTAGTTCGTTATTCCTGGCGGCCTTCACATTGCTGTGTGCTTCTCACGTACGCCCTCAATGGAAATATGGCGGTTCGGCGGTCTTTCCTTGTGCGGCTTCTGAGGTTGCCCAACTGGAGAGAATTGAAAGGGCTGCAACACACGCCTCGTCGAGGCACTACGTGGGATCAGCTATAAGAGTCAAATGCTTGCAACTAGGTTGTTCCTCATGTCGTACAGATGACTGAGCGGTGACCTGATATACACCGGAAGCATCATCCCGGGCGACTTTGGCCTCGAATTGCAGTTGGAATTCCTCATGATGAACAACAACCGCAGTAAAGTACGCTCCAAAATATGCAATCAAAAGGTTTGCCGCAGATTTATCGTCTTCCGAGGAGGGTGGCAACTCAAGCAGCACAGAGGGACACTTGGCCGTCCTCTGAGTGTCCAACTGGGGACACTTGGTTAAAATTGCTATGAATCCTCCTTATACGATGTTTTTATCGTTGAAATACAACAATTTGTTTGGAATAACCATTTAAATCCACGTATTCCATCGAATGAAGAAATTTTATTACAAAATTTGTCGTGTCCTATTTCGACCAAATTATCAGTTTGTTTATCAGTTGTTTCATTATTTGAACAAATACATGGACTCAAATGGTTCTTCTGAATAATTTAATGTATTCTGACTATAACAACCCCCGTATCAGAAGGATTTATAGCAATGTTAAGCGAGTGTTCCCTTGCGGATGACGGAGTAACCCTCTGTGCCGTCTGGAAAATCTCTGCAGAGATTTCCATGGAATACGCTGGCCGCATTCTCTCTCAAGAGATCATATGGACCAACTGATAAATTGGTGAAATTTCTTAGACAAATTTCACTCCCTTCCGTGTTCAGAGAAGGCGCGTTGGAAAATTTCGGTATGTCACCAGAAAAAAAATTACGTTTGATAGTTGCAAACTTGCAAGTATTCATACGTGCACACGCACACTCTATTCGAAAGCGCCTGTCACCTCTTATATTGAGTATACCTCATTATATACCGCATTATTCGACCATGTAAATGAACCATTGCATTGATAAAGTTCCGTCGACGTGAGAATAGTATCCAAGTTTACCATCACTTTATTTGAAGCGCAGCGTTTCAAGGTTACAAAAGCGAACAATTTATTACGTTAAACAATATAAGACTACAGTTAAGCTTTTTCAAAATCATTCCCCTGTTATTAGCCTAAATCAAAAATTCCCACATTTTCATGATTGTCTTCATTAATAAGTCGTGTCAGCTGGAGACGTGGTGAGAAGGCGTTTGAATCATGAAGCGAATTCAAGTGAAATAATCCAATCCAATCCAATCCAATCTTCCAGGACGTAGAGGCCTCGGCCTTATGGTTGTC